GAGAGAGAGAGAGAGAGAGAGAGAGAGAGAGAGAGAGAGAGAGAGAGAGAGAGAGTCCGGCGGTGGGCGCTGCTGTCGGAGACTCGTCGAGGGCCCCCACACATTGCAGTCCGTCAAGGAAGTGGAGCGCCTCTTTTCGACGGACGTCTCCTTCCGCAACTCATGCCCAGGCAATCGCCGGCGTGTGGGCCTTTTTTTTTTTTTTTTTTTTGTTATTCGAGACCAAGGGCCTCGCTGCAGTACTCTCGACATGCACAAAAGACAAAAATATTGGCGGTGTACCTCTCCATATTCTAGCGGAAGATTCACTCTCGTTTTGCACATTTCGAGAGCAGTGCAGCGAGGCCCCAAATGCCACAGTGACTGCTGCTGCTGGGCCCGTGGAAACGTTGGGCCTCGCTGCACTACTCTCGAAATGTGCAAAACGAGAGTGAATCGTCCTGTAGAATAGGGAAAGATACAGCGCCAGGATTTTTGTCCGTTTTGCTTGTCGAGAGTACTGCAGCGAGGCCCAACAGTATCCAGCGGCCCGACGGATATTGTTTTTTTTGTCATCGACTGTCGGGTAAGTCGGCCCCGCCAACTTCGCACCTGCCCCCCTCCCCACTGTCACCGGAGTATCGAACGCCCCCCCGTCTTTCACGTCAAGGGGTGTGTGCACACCGTCGGGAACCGTCCCACCCCGAAGAAAAACGGTCGCCGCCCTACCACTCTTTGCGCCCCTAACTCTCCGGGAAGTCGACTTTAGGCAATGAGGGGGAGTGGTGGTTTAAGCAGGGGTGCAGAAAAGCAGTTGAATCTCGATTTTTTGCATGTTTTGATAAAGCAGTCCAGATTCAGGCTTTCAATCCTATCCTCTTCGCTAGCTAGCGGGAGCTCGCCCCTCGAAACGGGGTCCAGCCTCCCTTATGTCAAAGACACACCATGGCACAGGTAACCACCACAGCCGGCTCGCTGTGAAAAAAAAAAAAAGAAGAAAGAGAAAGAAAATCGAGATCCCCTCCAGAGTGGAATCAGTTTCTCGGAAAATCCAGCGGCCTAGCTCAGTCCCATTCTGGATGGCCTGTGTGGGGAGGCTCTTGACAGTGAGGCGCCAGGAAGGTCGAACGCGAGTCCTTTCAGCCCGCCGGCGATGACTTTTCGGTGAGGCAGATTCTGAAAATTCAGTGTGAGTTCTATCCAGTTCTAGCGTGAAAGAGCACCCAAGCATCTGTTTTTCAGTCAATTGTCCAGGGTGACAACGACGGCGGGAGTGCTATTCTGTGAGACAGATTCTGTACATTCAGTGTGAGTTCTACTCGGTTCTAGCATGAAATTGCACCTCCATCTTCCCTCTCTGCGGATCTAGGGCCTTGCTGCAATACACTAGATTGGGCTGCTAGTGGAGGTTGCTCTTACCCGCTAGCAGGCACCCTCGCGTAAATGATGTTTCTGTTAAAAAAAAAAAAAAAAAAAAAAAACCTCGACGCTATGAATTTATCTGCACCCAAACGGGGGCAAAAGTTGTCCCGGGCCTTAAAATGACTTTTCGAGTTGCTTTTGCACCCTGGCTGGGCCAGTAAGGGCGGCTGGCAAAAATGGCGGGAAAGTCTTTTCCAGGGTGCCAAAATGACGCAAAGAGTCATTTTGGGGTCTGTGCCCCTTTTTCGCCCGTTTCGGGGCAAACGAGTTCAAAGGTATCGTCGAGGGGAGATTCTATAACTTCTCCCAGTTTTCTTGTATTTTTCCTGAAACAAAAAGAGATCCTTCGCAGAGTGGAATCAGTATATTTTTTTTAAAGGAAAATTACAAAACCAAAAGACTGCGAGAATGAGAGAGCAAACCTCCAAAGCTCCCACTTCGCCACTAGTGCGAGAGAGTTTGAAGCGGACTGCGGGAGAGCGTTGCGGAGTGGCCTAGCGCAATAGCCCGAAGCTGCTTGGGTGAGGCAAGGCGCCGGCGGGCGCGGCCACGGTTGAGTCGCCATGCTTGACTGGTCTCATCCGCCCCTGCCGCTACTAGCCATGGGGTTAGGCGTGGTTATACTGGCGTGCTGAGTTGAGAGTGTGTTGGTGTGTGGGTGTGGCATGCTCGCAGGAGGATGCTCCTTTACCGGGTATGGAGCTTGATCAGCGTGCTAGTGCAAGTCTGGTCTTCGTTATGGAGTCTTGGTTGAAGATGTTGTTGAAGAAGCCGCTTTAGGCGTTGACTTTTTGGCTGAAGATGCCGCTTTAGGCGTTGACTTTTTGGCTGAAGATGCCGCTTAGGCGTTGACTTTTTGGCTGCCGCTTTAGGCGATGACTTGAGGTCAGAATAACAGGAGCTCTTGCCGGGAGATGAAGATTGAAGATCCTCTCCAAGAAGAACGCATCGGGCATGCATTGCTTGTTGAGGGTTAGGTTTGGTGCTAGAGGTGGTTCCGAAATTGCATCTTGCGTTTTGTTCGAATGCTTTGAGTTACGTTTGTCTGACTTTTCTTGTTTTTCACTCTTTCCTTATGTCTGATTTTTCTTGTTCTTCGCTCATTCCTTATTTAGCCTGCGTGTTTTGTGGGATTTTCCTTTTCGATGCCTGCCGCTGCATGTCCTCGCGTTGGCTCCTTGTTATTTGTGGCGTTGACAATCCTGTTCTAGGGTTGATGTTCGCTGGTTCGATGTCGGAATACCTTGCTTGAGCAAAATGGTTCGCGATTTTTTAGGTGGGCAACCCTGTTTGATATGTTGCTGGCCTTGGCTTGATGTTTGGTGAGGCGCCAGGGTGTGCGGGAAATTGGAAGGCTGGGATAGGGATGTGGGACAGGTATTTTCTACAACGCCGTGCTTGAACTGAAAACACACTGAATTTATGATAGGTGGGCAATCCTATTTTGTTCTGTTGCCGGTGTTTGGTTCGTTGCAGGGTGTCGAAGTGGAGAATACGTGGATGCCCGTGACAGCCTTGTGTTGGAAGTTGTGTTGGAGAGCTTAGATACCCTCGACAGGCTTGCACATTGAGTCGGGTTTTATTGTTTATTTACCTGTTTGGCTGGAATTAGCATCTATGAAGGTGTTTTTTTTGGCTTTTCGTATTTTCGCTTTTTTCTGTGGCCTGTTAGAATTTCCCCCTTTTTTTTTTTTTTTTTTTTTTTTTTTTTTTGAACAAGATTTCCTTGTAACCGGGAAGCGGGCCCGGCGTCTTACATCAAATCAGCGGTCAAACGGGCTAAGCAAGGCACTCCATGCCAAACCTATCCCAACCGCTGCCCAAAACACAATCCGCGCGTCCTATCCTATCTCAATCACAACCCCAAAACAAAACTCACAACCCCGTAATTCAAAGAAGCAAATAGTACTCGACCTCGTCAGCAAACCATCATTGGGACTGACTGAATTTGATCCAGCTATCTATTGCAATGAATTCAATCTAGCTATCTATTGCAATCCGCCTGTAATATAGAAACTTCCCCTAATTAAACCTACCAGAATACAAAACTCCGCTACCACTTCAAATTACCATTTCCATTCAGTAAACGACATTACAACCCCCATTCCCAAAGAAATTTAAGTCAACAAAGGTCAAATTACCATTGTGACGAACCAATTTCTGTTCCGCGCGACTTTCTGCGCGATGACAATGAGGGGGCCTGAGATGGGAAGGCTGGGCCAATTACGGGAGATTGAGATTGAAGGGAAGTTGCATCGGTGTCCTTGCTTCTTCGCCTTTTTGCGTCGCTTCTTTTCGGATGGTTAGGTGCATGGTCGGGCGAGTCCTGGGATGATCGGTTGAGTGGCGCGGCACCGCGCGCGCAATTAATAATGGTTGACGTAGTGTCTTTTCGTTGCTGTCGGACTTTGGCGCGGAAATTGTGCGGGAATTCTGGTTCGTTCTTTTTGAACTTTCTTTTTGAATTCCTTTTTGGATCTTGTCGAGCCCGATGGCTCTCGGAACTTCGGACTTTCTTCTCAGAATTTGTTTTGCATTTTTTTTTTGCATTAGATAGGAATTTAGGAATTTAGGAATTTAGGAATTCAGGATTTTCTTCTTGCCGCGCAGCGCCTTTTGCTTGCGCACTTCTTTTTGCGGCTGCAACGGAGCTCTGATTAGTAGGCGCCCTTAATCTTGCGACTAACTGTAATTTTGGGAGGGCGCCATTGTAACTGTATTTTTATTCTTGAGCTTCGTCTTTCCCGCTCTCGCTTTTTCTCTTGCTGTGTCTAGTTAGCCCGTGGACTGCATGCTCGGATCGATGCGTGGAGAGTGGCTACGTCCCCCACGCCGCGATCTGGCCATGCAGAACGAAGGCGCTCCCTCCCCTCATCTCTTTTCTAAGTCCTTGTTATTCCGTGTTCTTCGCGCATGCATAGACGCTATAAATTCGGAATGCACGATTAGATGGCTCTTTTAATCAGTGGCTCGAAGCTCAGGGAGCGCGATCAGTGAGGGTCGGCTCACGAGCGAAGTAAGAGGTGAGTTGAAGTGGGAGTTGGGAGATCCGACGAGCTGGTGCCGAATATGCGGGATTGACGCGTGGGGCTACGACGGACTGTAGCGCGCGGGCGAATCCGATGGGCACAGGAGGACTAAGCGGGGTGACATTTTCGTGTGTTGGTGCGCGACGACGGACTGTCCTCATCGGAGAGAGACAGAGAGAGACACACAGAGACACACACAGAGAGAGAGAGAGAGAGAGAGAGAGAGAGAGAGAGAGAGAGAGAGAGAGAGAGAGAGAGAGAGAGAGAGAGAGAGCTATGAATGTCACGTTCCAGAACTTCGTCAACAAGACACGGTTAATGCAGGGGATGATCAACTTTTGTGTCATCGTTTATATGGATGACATCCTGGTCTATTCGGAGACCTATCATGGACATGCGCAACACATCGAGTGGACGTTGGGAACTCTGAGAAATGCCGGGTTTTAGATCGCGCTCGAGAAAAGCGAGTTTTTCCTTTCGGAAATTTCGTTCCTGGGCTACGTAGTGACACGTGGAGGATTGCGGCCCGATTCGAGAATGGTCGCGGCGGTGAAAGAAGCCCTGTTCCCACATCACTGATGCAGGTTTGAGCCTTCTTGTGGTTGGCATCGTACTATCGTCGTTTTATCAAAGGCTTCGCCACGATTGCACGACCCCTAACAAATCTGTTACGTAAGGACCAACCCCTCAGTTGGGACGCAGAGTGCGAACGAGCCTTCGCTACTCTCAAGGACGCTCTGGTGACGACACCTGTTTTGATCCGGCCGGACCCTGCGAAGCAGTTCATTCTCATCACGGACTTGCAGCCGGAGGCGATTTCCGCTATCCTAGCGCAGAAGGGGAACGACGGCTGCGAACACGTCATCGAATATGCGTCATGAACGGTGTCAGAGAAACGGAGAAACGACTCGCCCCCGCAAGGCGACTGTTACATCGTGGTCTGGGGAATCCAACACTTCCATCCGTATCTTTACGGACGGAAGTTCCTCCTTGTGACCGACCACAAGCCCTTGTTGGCTCTGAAGAGGCTCACTAATTATACGGGTATGATTGGCTGTTGGGCGGGGCGGTGCGCCTACAGGAATACGACTTCGACATCGTCCATCGAAAGACGGAGAGGCACGGTAACGTGGACGGACTAATACGCCTGCACCGACCAGCTAACGTGCCTAAGGGTGAAGAGATCTTTCCGTGGAAGGAACCAGAATCGGCGAACGGACCCAAGTACGGACAAGTGGCAGTCCTTCCACGTGGCAAGAAGCTGGCAGGTGGCAATGGGTGACGGAGGTAATCTTACAACTCCTCTCTCTCCCCTATCCTCATCCTCTCTCCTCTTCTTACCTTATAAATTTTGTTATTTTTGCGAAGCAATCTCTCGCGTATACTCGGTCTCTATGCGTCCTAGAGGGGAAGGATATGCGGAATGGGTAGATTGTCGACAGTGCGTCGCACGAGCCTACGGCTCGTGCATCCAGTACAGAAATGACAGAAAGCCTTGGTTGTGCCCCTTGTGTCGGGTTGATAAGATCCCGACTGAGGCTCGCTTTCTTGACGCCACGTCGCAAGGGTTAGAAAAGACCCGAAAGTTTAAAAGAGCCGAGGTATGGACAAATATCGCTTTGATTGCCACTCTAGTGGGTAACCCTCTTCAGGACTTCACCAAGGAAGATAGGAGAAGGGCCAATGAAAGGGTTCGGGACTATCGCAAGAACGAAGGACAGTTGGAAAAACGGAAAACAGATGGTATTGGGATTTGGATGGTAGTACCGCACCCATTCATGAGGTATGACTGGGTAAAGACAGCACATGAAGAACTGCGGCACACTTTGCCGTACGAATTACGGAGGCGGCAATCGATAAAAACAAGTGGTGTTGGTTCAATATTCGTGACGATGTGAAATTCATCGTCGCGAAATGTCAAGTCTGCGCTGCTAACAAGGCGCTGATCCAGCCGCCAAGATCGATAGTACCGACGGTAGTTGAACGACCTTTTCAAAGGGTTAGCATGGATACTACCGATATAGTGGTGCCCCTTGGACCCAATAACTGCGATTATTCAATCCTATTGGTATTTGTGGACCACTTTTCGAAATGGATCGAGGCGTATCCGTATCGTACGCGACAGGCGGCTGAAATTGCGCGGTACATCAACCGTTTTCTAGGGATGTACCAGGACACGGAGGAGATCCTTCCCGATAATGGGGCAGAATTCAGAGAGGAAGTTTTAAGGAATCTGGTCGTACACGACGTCGCTATTCGGAACACCGCCCCCCATATGTCACAGTCTAACGGGCTGGTAGAAAACACAAATAGAGTGATAAAGACTGCCCTACGACAAAATATCGTGGCGCGGGACCGGAGGCCCTGGCCCAATATCGTAGATCACATCTTGGCGGTCCATCGGGGAACACCTCATGAATCGACGGGCCTTAGCCCCTTCCAATTACGAACCAATAACGTAGCCTGCGTTTCAATACCAAGCCTCCCGGATGAATCTTCGTTGAACCAACGACCCACGAGAGCTACGGTTCGGGACAAGGCCAATCGACACATGGAACTGATGGAAAGGTCCCTCCCCAGGATGGCCCGAAAAGGACAGAAAATGACTGAGTTGGCCCACGGCCGACAGGTTCGCAGTTACGAGGCCCGGAATGGGAACGTTGGCCCACGGCCCAAGTATAAATTAGGGGACCTGGTGAAGGTGAGGAAATGTGCTCGCCAAGGGAAGATAGCGCCACGACTCTTCAGGCGATTCCGTGTGATCGAACTCGGCCCGAACGGGGTGAACACCGTGCGTCTCGTGCCGGAGGTCTCAGGAAGCCGGTCGGCTCGGTCGATCGACCGCCACGTGTCCTATCTACGTCCCCTCCCTTCCTCCCCATCTCCAATGCGGTCTTCTTCCTCCTTCGCTACAGAGGACGATGACGATTCTCTATCGCCTTCATCCCCTCCTACATCTCCCGCCCCTTCTCATACCTCCTCACCATCACCATGAGTTTTCTCACTGAGCAAGCTCTCGGCGATCACCTGCTGGCGCCACGTGGCGACATTTCGACAATTCGACAAGTTCATCATCCGCGATTCAGTCCAGATCTTTTACGGCTCGCGTAGTTCTTCTGTACCACGGGAGTGTACGTGGCGGCAGAATTCCGTTTTGCGGCTCATAGCTAGGCGCTCGTACTGGCCGAAGCATCAGCTTATCGGAGGCTTTCTGTACCAGGAGTCAGCCACGTGTCCACCATCGTCGTCTTTAGCGGAGATATCAGCGCAGTGGATCCACTACGGCATATGGCCATCCGCGTATCGCTGAGAGAGTGGGGTGAGCAGCTGGCAGCGGAGTGGAACCAGTGGCTCGCGCGACACGGTAACGATCTTATCCCCACCAACGACATCGAAGTCGGCGGGCTTCGCACGTTTCGACGCGAACCTGCGATAGCGCTTCCGAAGCTCGTTCCCTTCCAACGTCCTCAATGAACCGACCCCGGTTCTCGACATTCGCTCTTCCCTCTCTCTTCCCCACCTTCTGGCAGTCTGATCTTTACCCCCGTCTCTCTTTCTGCTTAAAACCCCTCGTCGTTCCCCTCATCGAACCAAGACACGGGGAGTTTTGGTGTGAGCACTACCTCACCCTTTCGCTCTGCCTAGTCGAAGTGGAACTGACGTGGACGTGGGACAGTGAGCATCGCGCCGGAAGAGAGAGCATTGAGCTGCTGATCATCCAGGCGCGGAGAACGGAAGTGGAGGGAGATCTCCTTGGGTTCGTCTTCGGATCAGTGCAGTCGAGCCATCGACAATTGATCGTGTGGGAGCTCACGGTTCCATTTGTGCAACTAGTCGACTATCTCCCCCTCGATATCATCTCAAAGTGTGACGAGAGCCCGGTGTCGCACGTCCTCCAACGGAGATTGACACCCTCCCTGCACTGGTCGACCTGCCTGGAGGGGCCGGGACAGGACGGCAGTTTGCCATCGCGATCGGAGTACCTGAACCCCCGAGGGGTCAGCGACACCCTTTTCTTCCAGCCCCAAACAGCGGAGGAGGCGGAAATGGTGGCAGAGGAATCAGAGGTGGAAGACGAAAGCGAAGAGGAAACCCCGAAAGAAGCAGGCAGCTACAGCGAATACAGCGAGGAAGAGTCGGGTGAAGACGAAGAAGAAGAGGAAGAGGATCAACCGGAGGAGGAGGAGGAGGAGTCTGAGTGGAAGACTTTTGGTACAAAGGCAGATCGCGCAGAGACACGGGAGGAGGATCCCGAGGCGGCACGAAAGAGAGAGGAGATCGCGGTCGGGAAGCAGCCGCTCGAGTTCGCGAGTGGTGCGGATCGGCCGATCCCGGACGATCCAACTAAGGATCCGGAGCTGCCCAAGAACGACGATGGGGACCCTCCTGATGAGACTTCGAGCGCACTGGCGCGCACACGATGGAGCAGATCCTGATCCCCATCCCCCCGTCCCCTAGTTCAAGCACGTATCGATGCGGGGCATCGGGCTTCGTCTGTCATTTTCCCGCCGACCCCTTGATTACCTCACCCTCCGCCAGATTATCATCCCGGTCTCCTTCCCGCACAACCCCTTCCCTACTGCAACCTTCCACCATTTCTATGCCACCCGTCTCGTTGTTACAGTGCATCCGCACCCCTCTACTCGGTGTGCTACCCCCATCTTTTGTCTCCATGTGATTCTCTTCAGTGCCGCGTGGCGAGGCCACAACATGATCGAGGTCTATTGCATGATTACGGGACTATCCCCGCATGCGAAAGCCATGATCGATTCCGAACGGCCCTCCTTCGCACCTTCACCACCCTATACCCTGATTACCTCGCCTCTCTCCCTCATAGTGGTACCCGCTTCCCGCGCTTCCATCGGATCGTACGATATTAGGAGCTTCCGGTGACTGTCGCGGGATATGAACGCTTTCTGCCCCTGCTCCCAACTAATCCACCTCCTCAACACGCCCCCATGTACCGCCTACCCTTTCCTCTCCCCGTTGGTTACTGATGCGCGAATGTATGACACGTGCCACGACGATGGCACGAATAATCCCCTCCTTGGACTGAAGAGAGCCCTTCCTGAGGAATTTGTAGGATAGAGCCACGTATGCCACGTTGGAAGACGTCCACACTCTTGTCGAACGGTAAGTGGCAACCAAGAAGGCTCCGCGTGACGGTCAAGATTCAAGCAAGCAGGAGCTTGCTTAAGATTGGAACCCCCTGGACGTCACATATGTGACGAACCAATTTCTGTTCCGCGTGACTTTCTACGTGATGACAATGAGGGGTCCTGAGATGGGAAGGTTGGGCCAATTACGGGAGATTGAGATAGAAGGGAAGTTGCATCGGTGTCCTCGCTTCTTCGCCTTTTTGCATCGCTTCTTTTCGGATGGTTGGGTGCATGATCAGGCGAGTCCAGGGATGATCGGTTGAGTGGCGCGCCGCCGCGCGCGCAATTAATAATGGTTGACGTCGTGCCTTTTCGTTGCTGTCGGACTTTGGCGCGGAAATCATGCGGGAATTCTGCTTCGTTCTTTTTGAACTTTCTTTTTGAATTCCTTTTTGGATCTTGTCGAGCCTGATGGCTCTTGGAACTTCGGACTTTCTTCTCGGAATTTGTGCGTTTTGCATTTTTTTCGCATAAGATAGGAATTTAGGAGTTTTGAAATTCAGGATTTTCTTTTTGCCGCGCAGTGCCTTTTGCTTGCGCGCTTCTTTTTGCGGCTGCAACGGAGCTCTGATTAGTTGGTGCCCTTAATCTTGCGACTAACTGTAATTTTGGGACGGCGCCATTGTAACTATATTTTTCTTCTTGAGCTTCGTCTTTCCCGTTCTCGCTTTTTCTCTTGCTATGTCTAGTTAGCCCGCGGACTGCATGCTCGGATCGATGCGTGGAGAGTGGCTACATCCCCCACGCCGCGATCTGGCCATGCAGATAGAAGGCGCTCCCTCCCCTGATCTCCTTTCTAAGTCCTTGTAATTCCGTGTTCTTCTCGCATGCATACACGCTATAAATTCGGAATGCGAGATTAGATGGCTCTCTTAATCAGTGGCTCGAAGTTCGGGTAGCGCGATCAGTGAGGGTCGGCTCACGAGCGAAGTAAGAGATGAGTTGAAGTGGGAGTTGGGCGATCTGACGAGCTGGTGCCAAATGTGCGGGATTGACGCGTGGGGCTACGACGGACTGTAGCGCGCGGGCGAATCCGACGGGCACAGGAGGACTAAGCGGCGTGACAACTTAGTGGGTTGGTGCGCGACGACGGACTGCCCGCATCGGGGAGAGAGAGAGAGGGAGAGAGAGAGAGAGAGAGAGAGAGAGAGAGAGAGAGAGAGAGAGAGAGAGAGAGCTGAGGATGATGGACGTGGATTTGCAATTTTCGTTGTCTCCTCCTTCGTTGTGTATATAAGTTTTGGGCTCGATATCAGGCGATTCGCCTTTATTTTGTTTTCGATATCTTGTATCGGCTTTTTCCTGGCTGTTGTATATGAGTTTTGATTTCGGCTTCGGGTGATTCGCCCATCTTTTGTTTTCGGCATCTTTGTCTCGGTACATGTTTGCTCGTACTTAGTCGGGATTCTTCCTGCTGGGTGTTTGATTGCATGGATGGATGTTGCTTTGCGGGGAATGAATGGTGTGTTTTCCGCTTCTCTTCCTGTTTTTGCACATACTGAACAGCGATCATAAGGTAGTTGATGTAGAGCAATGCTCTGATGTATGCGTCATTTCCCAAGTATGGAATGATTAACGATTGCGGAGTTACTAAAGGATTGGATGTACTGTGTGGTAAGTTTGCGTCTGTGTCTGAGCGATCATCCCGTGTGGACACGTGTAAACGTGATCCAAACTGCGCGGCCTACACGTATCCACACGTGGTGATTCGCAACCACCAACATTAGGATAGGCACGAAATTTCTTAACACCCAGCTCGTGAATTCCCTGGCCAATTAAACCCGCACTAAAGGATTCCGCTGTATTACAATGACAAGATGACGTATTCGAGGGACTTAGAGTATTCGAGGGACTCAGAGTATTCGAGGGACTCAGAGTATTCGAGGGACTCAGAGTATTCGAGGGACTCAGAGTATTTCGAACCTTGGGTAAGAGAATACCTCAGGCAGAGATGTCCGGAATTTCCCTGCCTAACCGAGAACCGATTGTGCCCCCGAGAGTTTCACTGTGCTGTAACCAGCGATCCAAGGTGCCCCGATTACCCAACTACGTATAACACACAATACTTCATATCCCCCGGCTTTGTTGTTATCACTACCAATTTCCCTCCCTTCCATCTTCTTCTTCCGTATCACCAACTTACGGTGGTACCGTGGAATTCCATCATCTAGTATTGGCCCCGCACGCCGTGCAGAAACTGCAGACGACGCAGCCACCACCGAACCCCAGGAACTACGGCGCCTAACCACAACACGCGGCGACAGGCGCCACGTGCCTGCCCCCGAAGGTCCGACTCATAGGAACCGCACCTTTCCGGACGGGCCTTTCCCGAACCACTGTTACCGAAACCGACAGATCGGATGGGCCTTGCATTGCGCATGCCAATTGCCTTAACCCACCCTCCCCTAGCCGTATTGCACCTATGCCCCTAGAACCTCGCCACAGGAGATCTCAGTTCTGACCTGGGACTCCACCCCCACTTTCCCAAGAATCCTTGGCACACCCCTTTTCGCACTTCCAGGCCCACATCCCACTACGATCAGGAAGTCGCGCCGGGCGTAAGGTTAGGGCGTCACACCATTTCCATTCGGTAAACGACATTACAACCCCCATTCCCAAAGAAATTTAGATACTAACTATAACCTAATCGAGTGGACCACAAGAACATAGCAGGAACATTAAGCTATCCCCAATCCACCGCCACAATCTAGCAACCTCAACACATAAATAGCAGATATATACCTAATTAGCCATAGATTAGCGCAGCAATGTGACGCCCAACGTCACGCCTAGCGCGACTTCCTGATCGGAGTGGGATGTGGGCCTGGAAGTGCGAAAAGGGGTGTGCCAAGGATTTTTGGGAAAGTGGGGGAGTCTTAACGGTATGAGTGCAATTAGGCGAATAAGGGGCGCGTGCGCAAGGGACTCAAGGTCCGATGGGGCCGCGGCACTGTGGGCGACGGTTTACGGGGAAATCCCTCCTCGGTGGAGGTGGTTGCGAAAAGTTAGGCCGTCGGGGGCCGCCACGTGGCGCAGGGCGCCGCGAACTTGGATTGGGCCTTCGGAATTCCGCAGTTCTCTGTTCGCCGCTACGTCGGCAATTCACGCAAAACGTACTGGGCCAATAGGGGGCTATGGCCGGCCACGGAACGACGCTGAGTTGATGATACGGGAGAAGAAGGCGGAAAGGAGGGAAACTGGTGGTGATCTCAACAAATCCCGGGTGGGTGAAGTAGTAGGTGTGGTSGGGGGAAGGGAAGTCAGAGCACCGAGGGTCGCTGGAGGTGGCGCAGTGGAATTCCCGCGGGCATAGTCGATTCTCTTTGTGACAGAGGTATCGCAGCCTTATGAGTTCGTTTATCCAAGGGGTAAAATAATCCGGGTCGTAGGACGAGTCCGAGCTCCACGATCGCGTCATGGCATCATCGTCGAGAGGATAGCTTTGGTCGGGTTATCGTCACCACGCATGAGCACGTGCAGAACAGGCGAACTTAGTTGCGCSTCCGCGTGCTGGTACGGGATGACGGTTYCGYCGCGAATCCTTTTTTTTCGGGTGGGCGAATCGGCGCACGGGGATGCGTGTAAGGGCGCAACTCRGGTCGCGTTTACACATGTTCTCGCGCGGCGTTCGCARGGTYAGACTTCGGTTCGTCTAATTGCTCCGTAAGTTTCGATCATGCAAGATGCARCCATAGCACAACCCCATCRTGAGATAAGCAAAAACGAGAACAAAATCGSTATCGGGGCCAAATTCCTATCCCCTCTACAASGACATCAGGTGCGGACAAAGATTCGACACAGAGATAASTCAAGGACAGGGATTCTCAGCAAAAAGATAGACAAGCAGGCATAACATCTATTCATCCATACATCCGACAATCATACACATAATGCAATCASGACRGACATCGCAAGGACAAGTGTGAGTAAAACCCCAAGCCCAGATTCCAGAAAGCCGAAACGAAAATAAGAACGGGCAACCGCCCGGAGCCGCAATCAAAATGTATGTACACAGGTGAAGAGGGGGAAAAGACAAAGAAACAGCAAATCCACGTCCATCGACCTCAACTCTCTCCTTCTCTCTCTCTATCTCTCTCCGATGCAGACAGTCCGTCGTCGCGCACCAACCCACGAAGTTGTCACGCCGCTTAATCCTCCCGCACCCGTCGGAGTAGCCCGCGCCCACAGTGCGTCGTGGCCCACGTCAATCCCGCGCGTTCGGCACCAGCCCGTCGGGTCGCCCAACTCCTACTCTACTCACCTCTTACTTCGCTCGTGTGCCGACCCTTCCTGATCGCGCAACCCCAAGCT